TAAATAGCATAAAATCAACTTAAAACTTTCGTTTGTCTTAAAACCTACTTTTTACAGAGATGGTTCTGTGGTACAGTTACTATTCATCGTCTCAATATGACAAGCCTCTCTGTGCTCGCCTCCTCCAGGTGTCATTACGGCTGGAAAGGTCCTCTGTGTGACCAGTGTGTGACGTTCCCCGGCTGTGTGTACGGGAGCTGCACCGAGCCCTGGCAGTGTGTGTGTGACGTCAACTGGGGAGGACTGCTGTGTGACAAAGGTCAGATTTCTGTTTTATTGCAAGCAGAGAGATGACAGAAACACTTTATTTTGTATTGAATGTGTTGAAATTATCTTTATCAATCAGTTTCCTGACGGTATCAAGGGCACTGCACCTGCTGCTAAATGCATTTGATCCTCACCTAAACATCCAATCTGTTAAAAATGAATAGAAGATGACTTGTGTTTTTTCCACCTAGGAAAGCAGTTTTAAAAATAATTTATTCCAAAACGAGTAAAAAGGCACATCATCTTAATTTCTGCCCTTATGGCATAAAACCTGTATATTCCTGTCATTTATTTTATTTTTCTATTACTCTCTGTGTACCTTAAAGTATAAAATATATTTAAAACACAAACACATTGATGTTTTCGTTAGTACAGAGTCATGAATGAGTCACTGAGGCAAATACTGAGGTACTTCATATGCTAGGAACACCATGGTGAATGCTGATAGTCATATTAGTGTTAATATCGCTGATGGTGGTGACAGCAGCGTATTTCTGTTCAGGGCTGGAAGAAGAAATCAGTCCTGGCATTCTGTCCAGACCGGCCCCATCAGATTTATTTTTTATTGATACCGGTACCGAGCCTAAAGGGGAGGTGTTTAAACATGTGTCCAGCCCTGTCTCTATTACAACTGCAGCCAAGTTTCTCCACAGCTAAATTCCATAAGCATGGATCTGTGTCACCTTCGTGAGGATGAGAAAGCGGCAGTGTATTGTTTGCTGGTCAAGAGCTCAGTGTGTGTGTGTTAGACAGTGGCAGTTTGTCAGACGTTGTCTTCCCGCACCTTCTGATCTTCAGTATGAATTATGACCCAAAAAACTCCCTGTGGGTTTCACCCTCCACTCTGAACCATTTCCCACCAAACTGTAGCAAAGTTCCTCCAACTTTATCCCTCAACAAGACAGACAACCTCCCACTTCGGTCCCAGTGTGAGAGCTGCTGGGATCTGGGAGCCAAACAAATGCCCATGGGACAGTGCATTGTGCAGAGGAAAGGTGATAGCCCAGGGTAAGGTGAATGTGAATGGGGCTGGGTGCTCTTAGCTAGGTGGGGTCCTAAGCTGTTTCACAGTGCATTCAGAAAGGCTGTGGTGAGACAAAGAGACTGTGGGCACAGAGGAGATCATTAGAGAAACTAGAGCTTTAATCAACCTCAACACTGCAGACCACAGGCCCTGCAGCTACTGGCCTGCAGTCAGCGCACTGAGCCGACCTGGATGTGCTCAGTGTGTGTGTGAGTGTGTGTGTTGTGCTCATTTCTTGAGTCAAAGTCAAGCTGAAGTTAACCTGGATCCAACTGCATCCTCATCATTTTATCTCCTCTTCATTAAATACTTCATTTCTCTGCTGTTTTGTGCTGTGAACTTAAATGTATAAAAACACACTCTTATCATATTCTGTTAATCGTTTCAGATCTGAACTACTGTGGCACCCACCAGCCCTGTAAAAATGGTGGGACCTGCACCAACACAGAGCCCAACGAGTACAAGTGTGAGTGCCAGGACGGTTTCAGAGGACGTAACTGTGACATTGGTGAGTGTGGACCCTGAAAATGAAAAAAGTTTATTTAAATACTGCCTGTGGATACAGAAGAGACAACTGTGAAGTGACCGATATAAAGAAAGGGTTAACACGATGTGGTAAAGGGAGCAAAAACTTGCCAGCTTTAATTTTACACTATACACTTGTATGTTTGACTATTAACTGTAAGTGCCTGTTTGGATGTCTCGGGTCATTCAGTTTCATCCTGTTTTCTTCTCCTCTCCCCCTCCGACATCTCTTTCTTCTGTCGACAGTGGAACATGCGTGTTTGTCGTCCCCATGTATGAACGGAGCCACATGTGTGGAGGATCAAACAGGCTTCAGCTGCATCTGCACCGACAGCTGGACCGGAAACACCTGCACTGATGGTGACTGTAACGCACGCGCACACACACACACACACACACACACACACACACACACACACACACACACACACACACACACACACACACTCCTCACTTACACACACAACTTAGAGAATGTGAGATTGTCTGTGATTGGTTGTTATTGGATAAAAGCCAGTGAGTGACTCTAATCAGTCCAACAGAGGAGGCTAAATTAGCCTGAGCGCAAACAGTATCAACAGCAATCAGGGATGTGTCTTCCTCTGTCTCGCCCTCTGTTTGTGTGTGTGTGTGT